ATGCTTTATTTAAAAAAAAAATTATAAAAACAATTTCGTCAGATATAACTGGTTCCGTATGTTTGCATGGAACTGCTTCCGGTTGATCGTAAAGCTGTATGTTCGGAAAAGAAACACGAGGCAAAGAAAGTGCTAGAGAATAAGAAAATGCAAATTTCAACAAAAGTGGCTAAGTTGCTAACTGGTTAGCAAGATGCTGCCAACAAACCGGCCACAACTAAACTTGCTTGCAAACCTTTCGCTACAACAATCCCGCCCCATTGATAATCGACCAATTACATTCACTTTATTCATCCGTGTAAAGTCGGGCACCACTCGGGAGAATTCAGAAATGCAACGGTTGGAACAGCCGCTTCCCTACGACTTTAGATTTATCGTTGGGTTTTTTTTTAACTCTTGTTAAGAGTTATAACCCTGAAACAGTGTTTTTGTTTATTTTCATAAATATTCTTTACCTAACCCTATGTCTGCCTTTTATTTAACTTAAAAGGCTAAAACCCTAAAAAGGCCTCAATTAAATGTTTTTTTGATCAATTTTAACCTGCAGCTGTTTCACTAATCATTTTCTGGAATCTATACATGAAAACAAAAATATATATATTTTGTTCAGATAGCTAAAAGAAGAAACATTGGATTTTTAATGACTATAACATTACATTTTTGCATTTAGCTTTAAAAAAAGTCTTAAAAACAAAACTGTTATCAAACCAAATAACTGAAACATACTGAACTTGTTAAACACTGGTACGGTTCAGTCAATAGTTGACTCACCATGGATCAGACATTGATATTTTAATGTCAAATTTTGAGTTACAAGAAAAGCAGTAACATAAAATCATTATGCTGCTAGCAAAAGAACTTCATCTTGGGAAATTATCATATTTAGTTGAACATTGAAACACCATATCTAAGACACATTTAGTTCTGGATGGGCAATTTCTGTAGGTTTTTGAATAGAGGAACAGAGCATTCATTTAAGCATTAATTAAACCAAAAGAGCCACTTGTAGCTCAGGAAACTCCAGATATAGCAGATGAAAACTGAGATATCTAATATATGTTTATATAAAATTTTTCTGATTTGGCAGTAACAAAATAGAGTCGGTGGCGCAACCGGTTCCAGGTCTACAATCTGGCACGCTTGCCACCTGTACACTCCAATCCTTACATGCACTTTTAAGTACACACTCCATAAAGAGGCAAACTTGGAGGTTTAGTTGCAGTGAGAAACACTTTAGGACAGCTGAGAGCTTCAGATAACCCATGCATGTTAAAAAAATAAGAGTTTCTTTTCCGTCCTTCATGTTTTAGATGCTTTTCCACTCAAGTAAAC